CAATCGCCCCATTCGCCCGTCATAAAGCCACGCGATTACAACTGTTCTATTCAGTTGAGAGTACTCTCCAACGGCAGACGCTACAATGTTTTGTCATTTGCCGAAATTGCGCAACAACAGCAATTTACCCACACTTATTGAAAAATCGAAGGTACCAGAGGTCAAAGGCCCTCGGCAGCACTGGGAAGCGCGGTCATTGGTGAAGGAGGGATTTACTCATCCTAAGGCTAAATATCACTTTTCTATTTATTCTCCTCTTTGTTTTATTCAAAAAAAACCAGCGGCACGTTTGAATGGATGACCCTAATAGATCGAGTATGTCGTATACTTGATGTACTTGATCTACTTCTGCTGGGCCGTAAATTCGGAAGAATTTTGAAAATTAGAGTTGAAGATGTTATACGGAGCAGAGCAAAAATTTTCGCGCCAACGGATGCAAACCCACATCGTTTGACTTGAAGCGAGACCACTACCACGGAGGCCACGTGGCACTGCCGACGCATCGATCAGCAGCGCTTACGAGCCAAAACTCAAACTTTGACCACCCAGATCTCGTCTGGAGGTCCCCGTAGCACTTGTAATCTGCATATTTGTAATCAGCATTCAAGGGCTCTATCGATGTACCAGGTCTCCATTCAAAGTTCCATGGGAAGTTCAAACCACCACCTTCCCTTGTGAGTGGCAATCCAGTCTGGGTCCTTTGCGACAAGAGAATGCCAGAGCGCGCTCAAGTCAAAAAATCTATCGTACTGTCGTCCGACCTGCCGCGTTATATGGGTGCCGAGTGCTGGCCCGCGACCAAAGAAGTTGAGGCTCGCCTTGTGTGTAATGGAAATGAAGATGCTGCGCTGAACGGCGGGCGTCACGCGAGCGGAGCGCATTTGTGACGTCGTGCGCAAGAAGTATGGTGTAGCCCCCCCCATAGCAGAGAAATTGCGCGAAAACGCGCCTTCGATGGTACGGGCACGTACTTCGCGCGAAGGCTGAAACCGTCCGTAAAACTGCTCTCGAACTCGAGGTACCAGGAAAGCGGCCAAAGGGGCGTCCCAAACAGCGCTGGCTCGACACACTGCATAACCGACTTAAAATTAGCCGGCATTCACCCCATCAGGCATCCAATCGGGAAAAATGGCGTAGTTATATCAAAAGAGCGGACCCCCGCCATCAAGCGGGACAAACGCAGAAGAAGAAGAAGAAGAAGTTGTACTCGTATTCCAAAGCACAATTACAGGACCTGGCAAAAAGCCAAGAGAACTGCACGCGACCACGCCGCGCTGACGGTGTTAGTAAAAACGTGAGTTTGCAAAACGGGCGGCGTAGCAAGGAGTTACGACTTTCCCACGGTCCCGTACTCTGACCCCGTGCAGTTTTGGGTGGGGGACCACGACAACATCGACAGCTGGGGGGGGGGGCTGATAGCCTCATACACCTTCAATGTGTTTGGGCGTACCATGTGTCTTTGAGGAGAGGAGAGATCGATGATATCACCCATGCTTCCGCATACTGAAAAAATAGATGAGGCTGGGAACTGTAAGTACTGGGCTTTCAGTCCTTATAGTTAAAGAACGGGAAGTTTCGGCTCACGTTAAGCAAATTTCATGATATGCTTTGCACACTCATACATTTGTCGCATGGCTCGGACGCTGGACATACAGGGGGGGGGGCAAAAAAAGTCACTTTGCCGCATTGACTTTCGAGGCGCTATAAGTTACACTTCATCAAATCTGATCGGACATTTTTACTACCATATTGAAGAGCATATCAAGTACTATCACGACACTCCGCCACAGCCTTCTGGAAGAACGCCATCGAGAGATTCTGGCACGCGACCGCGATGGGTACCTGAGATCACGGGGTAGTCGATTTCTCCGCCACCGTAGACGACACTATTGAACTCCGCCCGAACTAGGTAATTGAGTGGGTTCAGGTCAGGGGACATACTTCAATATTTACATCTTCTTCAGGTACGAAACGCCCTTCCATTCGAAGTGGGCGAAGTTTTTTCAAAACCCTTCGATTCCATGTGGTGGCACCAAGAATGTAGCAGCACAAGGTCTCCAAGAAGGTGCGGGCGACCACATGTAGGGAGAATATTCTTCTCGAGTTACTTGATGTAACCGCCAGCGCTCACCCTCAGTCGGGGTCTACAAAGAAAATATCGGCTTCCCATTCCAGGTACCCCGGTCCATACCATCAACTCGCGCCTCGGCGACTACGGTGCAGATGATGTCCTAGACCGTAGCGACGTTGCCGTAGCTGCTCGATGTGGGAGGTCTTGCAGATCAAGAGTACTGAGCTCCAGGTAGCTATCTGTGGATGACTTCATTCAAGAAGTTTCGCAGCTGTTTGGAGGCGACGTAAATTCCAAAGGTGTTCTCCAGCCAGGCCGCGACTGGAGATGAGTTTCATATTTAGCGTACAGATGGCGGCAGCCTGCTCCAGCTTATAGAGGAAGATCTTGGGTATCTTCCACTCTGGTACTCATATCCGCTTCCCCTGTCTGGGCTGCGAAAACTTCGGTGATATGTGGCTCGGCCGAAATGACTTTTTTTTGCCCCCCCCCCCCTGTACTTTCACGAAAACTGCTGAGTTCCGAAAATGGCAAAGTATTTAAAAGTGAGCTAAAGAAGATCCATATTATGGGTCCATCCAGCTCTGGCTTAAATTAAGCCTATTCAGCTTGTCACAATGGAACTTCGGACTTCATCGCATTCTAGCAGGAACCACTAGCAGATACAAAGCCCATTGTTTTTTCTGTCACTCAATGAGTCCTCGATCTGAAGTTATGCATATGTTGTACGACGCCTATCACTGTGCTTCATTTTCACCTAAATCCATTTGCGGGTGTTTTACTGCCTTTCACTGCATCGTGTGCGCTTCTCTCTGTTGTGTTCGTAACCTTATTTTTCTGTTTTGCTTGCCGTATGATGTCAGCTTGGGATTATGGGGACCGGTTTACAAATTACCTCTAATATTTGCTCAACTAGATGCTTGTTTTGGGGGTCTAGTGCCTGCAAGCCTTACGGATTGCCATTTTGTTGCGCTAAGCCCCGCCAGCAGCATATGCGCTTCTTCGAATGAATGTTAGGTACTCTGTTGGTTTTGCTTTACTGACTTCCAGAGCACAGTATTATAGTGTAGAACAAATTACTAAATAAGTGAACAGATAAATAGATAAACTTCGAAATTCTTTTTTTGTATCCAAAGTAGACCTTAGAATCGCTCTAGCGATCGCGAAACCTAATGTGGCTGGATGACATGGTGTGAGGGCTTGCCAAGCTCTGAAATAGCCGTGACATAAGAGCTGTTGTATCATCACAAGAGAACCCTAACAGGTCGATCCGGCCTTTTGCAATGAGATGTACATACATGCCGTGCCTTAAGCCGCTGAATTCAAATCTGCCCTTCGTTTTTGCGGAACGATTCTCTGAAGAGGGTTACATACCATTTAATCTTTGCTCTGTTTTACAAGTTGAGAAGGATAGCTGCCTGCAGCAAGCGGCGATGGCCTAGTGGAGAAGCGCAGTGCTTCAGAGACACGAGGTCACATGTTAGAATCCTTGACTCTCAAAATATTTTTGCTTTTTTTCAAAGCACTTCATATTAGTCCCCACACCTTTTTGAACAATTCACCTAATCTCTGATTATTTGACAGTAGGAGTGGCCATTGCTGCATTTGTGGTTCCTTCCGAAAACTTTTATTATGTGGATGACCGTTTCTAGAGCTCGCATAGCGGATTGGAGATTTTGGTATAAGAGCACATGTGGTATACTTCCACAAAATGACAGAAACAATACGAGTTCTTAAAATGAGCGGAGCAAATGAAAAGTACTCTGCACGGTACATTACAATTCTCTAAAATCCGGAGGGGAAGCAGTACTGAAGAGGTGTTTCGAACCCACCAGAATGTACATCGAAGTATACCGAGTACCAAGAATAGATACGAAGTTTTCAAATCAAGGTGAGCAAAATTGAGAATATATAAGATAATACACGGAAAATGGAGTCCCTCTGATAAATAGAAAAAAATCATATCAAGACCAATACATAAGAAGCGAAGCGTTCCTACATAGCTTTAAATGAGAAGAAGTACACTTCTAAAGGTAGAACCAAAGACGTAGCAACTGGTGGATATTGCGTAGTTTCACACATTTATTGGGTGGCAGAACAGATTCATGATCTTTAGAGGAACCCCACGCGCCGACTATGAGAAAGGCCAACTGGGGGGACCCTGGAGAGGACAGCTCACATAAATCAAAAATTTCCTACCTATGCTTGGTACTCGATTGGAAACTTCGATGTACATCCTGGTGAGTTCGAAACACCTCTTCAGTACTGCTTCCCCCTGGATTTTCGGAGAACTGTAGCTGTACCGTGTAAGGGAGCACTTTTTCATTTGCTGTGCTAATTTTGAAAACTTGTTTTATTTCTGTCATCTTGTGGAAGAATACCAGATGTGCTCTTGAACCATAAGATTCCCATCACTCAATGCGAGCTCTAGAAACGGTCATCCTCATAATAAAAGTTTTCAGAAGGAACCACAAATATGGCAATGGCCGCTTCTATTGTTAATTGATGTTGATTGCTTCAGAGACTTAGGTGAATCGGTCAAACAGAAGTGTTCTGGTGACTGATATGGCTCTGAACGAAAGCAAAAATATTCCAAGAGTCAAGGATTCCAACATGCGAGTTCGTGTCTCTGAAGCACTGCACTTCTCCACTAAGCCATCGCCGCTTGCCGCGAGCAACTATCCTTCTCAACTTGTACAACAGAGCAAAGAATAAATAGTCCGTAACTCTCTTCAGAGAAACGTTACGCAAAAACGGAGGGCAGATTTGAAATCAGCGGCTCAAGACACGTCCATACATATATATACACATCTCATTGCAAATGGCCGGATCGACCTGTTGGGGTTCCCTTGTCAGAAGGCGCGGAACCCCACGAGGAGCGACTTCTTCTATGCGTTCCTATTATAGAATTACAATCGGAAGAAAGGCGTCATGTATAAAAGATCTCGAGGAAATATGTACTCACCATTCTCCATGTCAGATTCTGATTCCAAAAGCTTGCTCCTTCCTCAAGGGAAAATAGTACACCACCTATGGGAGCACCGAAAGCCGCTGCAACACCAGCAGCTGCTCCAGCGGAAACAAAGTCGCGACGTTCTCTAAGAATACCGATGAAATATTCCTTGAGCGGCAGCCTCAAACACCGTCAACTGGCAAAGAAAACTTACCTATCATTTCTGAACTCTTTGAACAAGCCAGTATCAAAGCGCAGAGATTGACATCTACCTTGAGAAATACCAGCGCCCACAACAGCACCAGAATGGATCATCGGCCCTTCCTATGGTGACAGAGCGATTAGGAAAAGGGGACAATTCCATTCAAAAAAAAGAGTTCGAATTACCTTTCCAGCTGACAGACCTCCACTAACTGCACAAGCAACTCCAACTGCCTTAGAAACTAGCGTCTTCAATTTCACAACTTCCGGTATTTGAATGCCATTCAAGAAACATTTGATTTGTGGGATGCCCGAGCCTCCAGCAATTGGTGCCCAAAATATCACCTGAAATGGCGACTGAGTTTCGAAACATTGGGTAGAAATGCTGCATGCGAGGCAAGTTGTGCGTAGTCCTGGTAGTACTTCTTTCGTCTTTCGACAAGTTGTTGCCGTTCTGCAAGACCCCAATAACGCTGAAGCTTTTCGACTTCCTAAGAGTTCTCGACACCGCTGCTAGATGAGAAAGTGGATTACTGCTTCTTCTACTGAAATGAGAAGAAACTGAAACAGTCGTAGAAAGGTAATCTCGCCGCAATCGAACCAACGCAAATGATGCAGTGCATATGTAAGATCAAAGAATAACAGCACTCGCCGAAGATCAATACGCTTTTGGGACACCGCATGGAATCCATTCGAATTCGAAATCCTGATGACTCATTAAACTCGTAGTGGTAAATGCAATAAGATGTGGGGCCATTCGACGAGCCAGTCAGTATTGTACGCTTAAAGACGAATCTAGTAGCAGTTTAGCGTCCTCAGAGGGTAGAAGGCTCGGTTAGCCGCTTGGCAGCCTGAGCAAAATCCTAGCCGGGATTCGAACCTCGTAGCCCGCTCGTGGTAAACGGACCTTTGTCACTATGCGATTTGCAACATCAATAGGCACTACAAAAGAGGCATTACCCCCATTAGCAACCTTGAGAGGCACGAAGTAGTAAAATTAAGTAAGTAGCAAAAGTTTATATGATTTGATTAGGCAGCAACACGGCTTAGCGATAAAAAGCGTCGACACGCGTTAGCGCACCTCCCTCTGCACCTAGAAATTTCCAGCTGCCAGTTGTCTTTAGAAAAACGCGTAGGATGAAGGAGGGAATCTTCACGACCTGAGCAAAGGCCAAAACCGAGGTGTCCAACTCTGAGCCCATTGTGAAGCGATGGCACTATCCGAAAAGAGCTCAAAAACTGGCAAGGACCTGGCAATAACAACGTGTACTGCATGTTTTTGATTTCATACTACCTCTATGGAAAAACGCCTTATTTTGAAAATGACAGATCTTTCTCGCCGACCTAATGCTATTATATAAGTAAGACGGGACCCCATGCCTGTTTCTAATGCTGATCACGAATCTGCTTTCAATAGTTACCGTTATGAAGGCTCTGCCTCTGCGTCACAATATTCTACATTTCGTCACATGGAGGTGCGATTTTTTTGTATGGGTAATGGTTTCATGGAGCAATATAGCGTTTTTGCCTCATAGGTAGCATGTTGCAGGTTCGGTTGATAAGCACTTTTGCCCTCTCGAAGACAACTCAAGAAAAAAGGTTAAAATCTGCTAGAATATCAGTGTTTGGCGATACGTGTCCAACGATTTGCAGTATGGACCGCTCACGGGTCTAAAAGCGTGAGCATATAGGCGTTAACATTCAGACGTGCTTTTCATAATGTTGTGCTCTAAATGATTCATCTTTCAAACTCCTCGGTTCGATAACATTTACTCACGCACCGATCACTTCCTCAAATTATACTGATGCAATCGCCAAGTCGAGAAAAGGTCCAGAAATCAGCTAGAAACCAACTAATTGTAAGTAATGCGACCTCACACGCGAGTCTGCCAAGGGGGCATGACTGGTCGGAACTGAGAAACGTTTGGAAACACCACACACCCGAAGAACTCACCAAGCATCCAGCAATCCCAACAAGTAAACAGTTATAACAAATCCAGGCCGCGACAACTTTCCACATGCAACCATCGCCAGTAAGCTCAGTTTCTTCATCACACTTAGACAGCACTTAAGAAAAACGGTGTTAACAAGAAAAGTTATGGGGAAACGAACGTACAATTTTTGATGATGAAGCCAAATTTTATCTCTTGACTGTAGTGTAGCATAATATCAATAGCCGCCGCAACAAGAGCAGTGACAATACCTATTAAGAAACATACGATCCATCGATTACGTGAACGTCGCCATAGCCTCATCTGAAAAGAGTCCACTAGCTCTGAAGCACGGGGAAACAGGATATTACTATCCAACAACTGCTGCAGAGCACCACGAGAAATACGACATCCCCATAAATTCGTCCTGAACGGGGGACGCATCTGGATAAGCTCTTGACAGTTAAGCATATACTGATAGACTGTTATGTGCGCTATTAGTGCGGACTTACAACTTAGCAAATAACAACTGAGACGCAACTAACATGACGAAGTTGCAAGAAGGAAGTTGAACATCACACCATTGAATGTTTTAGATTGTTGCATAAGTTCTTATACACGACTTTCTTGTAAATATCTCAAAAACGAGCCAGCCTGGAGATTAGAGGTATGTACCACCTGGAGATTAGAGGTATGTACCACCACCATTCATTACTCAACGCCAGCGCTCAGGCAGCTTGTCGATTCCATCCTTCCAGAACGACGGAGGCTGGGACTTGAAGAATTCGTCGAGCGCCTTTCTGACCTGCAACTCCTTTTTTCGAACAGGACGAGGTTGTGAGAGCGTTTTTTTTGTTTTTTTTTCCTTTTTTTTTTTCAGCGGTGTTTTGGTTTTTTCCACGTCCAGAATAGCGACTGCAAGGTGGCTGAAATAGCCAGTAGTCAGAAGGAGCGAGGTCAGGGTTGTAGGGAGGGTGGGCGACCATCAGCCATCCGTGCTTCTCCAGCTCGGCCTGGGTCGCCTTTGCAGTGTGAGGTCGGGCGTTGTCATGGTGGAAGTAGATTTCCGCATTCCTTCCAAGTACGGTCGACGTGATCTTTCAATTTCCGCAGCTGGGTCACGTATGTGGAAGCGTCAATCGTCTGTCCCTTCTCCAGCAGCTCCCAGTACTCCATGCCTCTTCTGGACCACCACCAACAGGACAGGAGAACCTTTTTGGGGTAAAGGTCGGCCTTTGGGGTGGCTTCTGGCTGTTCTCCTTTGTTGACCCACTGCCGCTTCCTCACAGGGTTATCGTAGAGGACTCACTTCTCATCTCCAGTGATCATCGAGTTGAGAAAGTGAAGACTCTTTTGGAAAGTGAGGAGAGAAGTGCAGGTGGTCACCCTCCTCGAGAGGTCATAAGCGGACAGTTCATGTGGGACCCATCGACCAAGCTTTGCTACCTTGCCGAGCTTTTCTAGTCCACGTGCAAAAGTCGAATGATCATAGCTGAGCATGGTCGCCATTTCTCTGGTGGTGAGGTAGGGGTCCTCCTCCACGGTGGAACGTAGCACTTCCAAATCCAACTCCATCGGCCGACCCGACTTCGGAGCATCTTCGAGAGAAAAGTCTCCTTTCTTGAATTTGACGAACCAATTCTTGCATGTCATGTAAGAGATGACGTCTGTATGTATCCACCAGCTTGGTATGGGCTTCCTTTGCATTCCAGCCGAAATCGTGGATCAAAACCAAACAGTGGCGCAGGTACGTTTTGTCACAGTGCAAATTGTGCGACATTGTGTACTGCAAATGCAAGCTCTGTGAGTGATGGCTAGTGTAATGAAAGAGTATAATGTACACGTCACGCACACGTGATGACGTAATACCAACATCCATGCGAACGAAATAGGAGAGGATCAAACACGTGTATAAAAACTTATGTAACAACCTAATATTTTCAGCACTGTTTACCCTTCCTCCGGTCCACTCTTTCGAAATCATCCCAGATTTCTTCGACTTCTCTCTCCTGCGCATTGGCTGAAGACTTGTACCCAGTGCTAGTTTGACCTCGTGAACGAATATATTATCCGCTTGACCTGAGACCGTCTGGCCCCCGCCATGGAACCGCTAGATGGGTTCGAAGGAGAGACAGAACCTTCTCAACCCTGTCCACAAAATTGAAATGCGCGTTCGAGATTAACACCTTCAGACACGTCTGATGGTATAAAGAACATCACAACCAGTCACTTCGACCTCGCACCCTCCCTATCTAGAAAACAAAAAATTTCGGTTTTTCTCAACCTTTCTCTCATGAACAATAAGAGAACTCACATGATGGTAAGGATCCGCTTCTTCATCGCGATACAGCTGGTTCTCAGATACTTCATAGTTGAGGCTTTCATACTTAGATGACAACGCATGTTCTTGTTCCAACTCTTGAGGTGGTTGCTGTAGTCGACGTCTACGTAACCTTTCTTCATCCTGAAGATGGCTAAGTCGACTACCAAACCAAAGACAGAGAAATCACTAGCTCGTACCTCTCTTCTGCGTCGAGACAGATTACTCACATTCGGCGATGAAGCTACTCGCTCCAATCCAACTACGGGATCTTCGTACGGATCGAGACTGGAATTCACACACATTCACACGTGAACAGCTCATTTAATTAACAAAAAAAGCAAACTATATCCAAGAGTCTATGCATAGGAAAGCAGGTGTTGGGCCGCGTTCATACTTTGCCAGCAGATAAAAGTCGAGAAATCAACCTTTGAAGAGGTGAACAGGAATTGACGGTGATAGAGAAGAGAGTGGCAAACTGCGCGATCAACGAATGATTACGCTACAAATAGAACTTTTCGCGGTGGTTTTGGGGCGAAAGGCCAGAGTGCAGAGAAAGTGAAGGTTGCTGCTGCCAAACCGTTAAAGACAGTTCCCGCGTCAAAGTATCATGGATAGTTGCGGCTCGATTATGAAACAATAGCTGGTAAGTAATTCCCCATAGATGGAAAAAAGCAAAAAGTCTTGAAGAACACAATAAACAAAGTCCCTTCCTGACAGGCACATCGCCCTGCGGTCTCTGTGCAGCTCCTGGCTTACAAATCGCTTCGTATCTCCTAGTAGTAGATGTCATCAAATGCAAAGAAAAGAATACCATTAATAACAAAAACATCTAAAAAAAATCCTTGAAAAAAACTTTTTAAAAAAATCGGCGCACGAACTTAGGCTTAAGATAGCGTGCATCTTTTAGTGCGTCGAGCTTTTGCACCTAGAAAATTGCACTGCTCGTGATTTTTACGCGTTTTCCCTTGCGAGATGGGTTCTAGTTGACTGTAGTGCTCCTAATGAATGAAATATAATGAGGAAGAGCAGAATTGCTCATGGGCACGAGCGCGGTCAGCAAAAAGGACATGCAATTCCGATTAATGCCCGCCGTCCCAACAAAGAACGACTGAGCGGTCCTCCGTCATAGGGCATCTAGCAAGTGGGCGGTCCAGCTGAGCGGGCGTTGGAACTGAAACTTTTAGCGGCTGCAGGACGCTCCTCGCTCGCTGCGGAATCGCGAGAGTGGGATTTAGTTTGAGTGGACTACTTGCAAACGACTATGAATTATTTGAGCGCAGGGGCCGTCTTTACGGCCAACACAGTCTATAGGATTTTGAAAGGAAACACGTGAATTAATGAACCAGCGCGCAACAGCAGAATGCAAAAGCTGATAACGCTCGTTAGGGAAGCTATTTTCCAAATCAACAACTACACGAAGAGATTAAAAAGGATTTAATGTTTGCTTAGGCCGCGTTCATATCGTGCGACGTCGTCGTCAACGTCGACGAAAGCTGCGTAAGTTGCGTAAGTTGCGTAACCGACGACAGCTAACCGATCGATACGTATCTATTCTTCTCAAAGTTGTCGTCGGTTACGCAACTTACGCAGCTTACGCAACTTACGCAGCTTACGCAACTTACGCAGCTTTCGTCGGATCGATACGTATGTATTCTTCACGAACTAGTCGCAGCTTACGCAACTTACGCAAAAGACGTCGCACGGTATGAACGCGGCCTTAGCACGATCCAACCCATTCCTTGAATACTGACTATTCATGGATGAGTCCAAATGGTCATGGATGAGTCCAATTGGTGAAGTTTGCCTGGGAATACAATACGACATTGTCTCATGCAGTAATGAGTTACAGTACGGACAAGAGCGATAATGGCGCGCATTTGGTCGATGAGTAGCTAAACTCCAATGATGTGAAAGGGACCAGGGGAACCAAGTAGGCAAGTTGTCCCGGTAAACTCGCTCGTCATTTTTTTCGCGTGAAGATTTAGCTGGCAGCTGGTGTCGTTTATTTCAGTGCGGCTGCTGTCATAATTCGTGATAGAATACTAAAGAAGCTGGATAAGCCTCTCACCCCAGTTGAGGTTACATATTGTGTATCTCGTCGAATGACACACACCGGCCCTAATCGCATATCTTGCTCACCTTCCCATATGGGACCGTAATCAGAGATTCTTACTGTATCTTACTGCGAGAAATGCACCACTAAGAATTCTGGTACAGTATAGAACAGGGTACTTTTCACAGATTTCTTCGGGAGGCGCTGAGTTTTTTTGCACTATAAGGTGATGAAATGGTCACTATTTAGCTATGTTCAAGGGACTGTATGCTCCAGTTAAAAACAAAATGCGGAGAACTCGTTTCCAAGTTTTTTCCCTGCGCAGATTTAGCGGCAAGGTCATTGAGGAAGCTCCAAGAGCAAGATGCTTGACATGCTTTTTTGGAACTGCACCAGGAGATTAGTGCAAAAATTGTAAACAGGTAGTAGGGTATACTTGCCTGCTGGATGAAAGAACTCTTTGACGGCTTGAAAATGCAGTACGTGCTGGATTTCGAGTCGCCTCGTACAAGAGACGCTCTCTATCACTCATCTTGGCGAAGTGCTGGAAAAGATACGATTTTCACTATTGGGGTGAAAAAGGACAAGAAGGCAGTACCACTGTCTTCTGGATGCTATCTAAACGAAGCCGAGGTAACCTCTTTGAATAGCTTTCCCGCGCGCACTCGTTTGAATCGACTTCATTGGGCGCACTATTTTATGGACCGTACACAACCGCCCGGACGCAGGTTCACAGTTGTTGTACTTTGTTCAGATTTTCATCGATTTCAATATATTCTGATTGTATCAATGATTATTGCAACTACTCAGTAATGATCAATAACTTGTACTGACAGAGTCGCAATTGAGGAAGATCAACTAAAATTCTTTTCACGCCCGTAAGTTCGAAAAAGAAAATTTCAAGGGACGTCCAATGCTATTGCAATCTGAATAGGGTATCTCACTGGTTTCACTAAGTTCCTCAAAACACATTGGATGTACAGCATAAGGTTGTGATGGACTACTGTAACCAAATAACGAAACTTTGCGAAAGCCTTGGACGAGAAATGGTGGAAAAAGACAGCAGTTGAAGGGGACAATCATGAGTCCTCGACAGCTAATTACCACACTTGGAAAAAGCGACAAAAGCCGGGGGAAAGAAGCGGGGATAGTTTGCTCAACGAGCGACTGTTATTATGGTAACGGGAGATCATCAAAATTTCTGAGGCAGAAGAGCGCTTCCAAATCCATAGTTTCATGACAGGCAAAGTGGGGATGAGGGCATTCACTACTACGGCGCTTTCGATGATGCCGGATTTGCTAAGTTGATAGTCTGAGAACTGAGTTTTTCCTATGGGGCGAAACGAAACCGAAGTTGAGGCACACAGACCTGTTGGAAAAGATGCAGTGGGTCCTAGGACCAAACAGGCGGTGGGATGCGTACTATGTTCAGCACATCGAACTGTGTTCGAACACACATAGCTTCGAACGCCTTTCAAGATCGGTTCAAGATATGGACTGTATTCTACAATAACTAGCTTTCTATACGATATGGTAATTGTTGGTCACACGCAGTGTTGTACGCTCGTTGCCATATCTCATGTTTGTACTCGCGTAACGCACGAATGCGCGTATTTTCCAGGTTGATGAGTGTTCACTTTTTCCGATGTGTACTGTCATTTTGAGCGTCACAACAGTAGGGCTACTAATGTAAGTAGACCCAACGGGGTAGTAGTGATTGCGAAATAGCGCGCTCCAATGAGAGCCACTCGAAGGGGGCGCGCGGTAAATTTATTCAAAGAGGTTACCTCGGCTTTGTTTAGCATCCTGTTTTCTGCAGGCCGGCTGTGGCAATTTGCCAACAGTTTGTGGTGTGATTGCGTACTGCAAACGACCGCTGTAATCCTACGCCTAGTTTTATTAGTTTATTCTCTCGGGAGTAATGCAAGAGGGACCCAGCGCATGGACTGCTGGATGCAGTTACACCATTTGCGCTCCCTTTCGCTACCGTAATTCTTACGCACCTCACGCCAACTTTCAAATGTTTCGCGAGTGTTTCTTGTTGACAGCGCCACCAGAAAGCAAAGGAAGATTCAGTTTTAGCATTTTAGCAGGTAGCATCACATACAATTTCTTCAAATGGCCTTTCCCAGTTAAACAACTTATCGTACCACCATTAATTAATACGATAGTGATCCAATGAGATCAGCAGTAATAAGGATCCTAGAACTCGCCTAGCGGCATCAGCAGCCCAGAACGTCTAACAAAACTGGTCTGCTGGAACATTTCCTTTAGGAATTCCTCGGTGCTAACGTATTTGGGGGAGGGGGGACCACGCGGCGCGCGGCAAGTGATGACTCATCGGCTCTTCACTCAACGGATACTTGAGGCGCGATTTTAGCAGTCAAATTAGAATCAAACAAGGTTCACCGGGAACTTGCTGAGAAATCCCACGGAAGCCGAAAACAAATGTTTGATCCTTTGTGGTCAACAGTAACAGTCAACAACAAACAGGCAACAAAACTCTGTAGTGGTTCAAAAATCTTCCGGCCCACAACTGTTTCTTCGGACTTTTTTGCGTTACTGTATTAATATAGCTAGGTTGGTGTTATATCCATGTCCTCAACCCAAAATTACTTCTGTTTTGCCGAGGCTTCTATTTTGCCGAGGAGGCAGCAAAAGAGCAGATGAGTCATCGCACGCCGCGAGCCGCGTGGTCCCCCCCCCCTAATACGTTAGGCTGCGTTTATACTTTCTGGCAGCTTAGCGTAGCGCTTCCAGCGTACGCCAGCGGCAGTATCGGGGAAGGATAGATATCGATCTAGCGTTCCCAGCGTCACCAGCGTACGCTAGCGTGCCGCTAGCGCACGCCAGCGTAGCGAGGGCACGGGAAGCATAGCTATCGATCTAGCTTCACCAGCGTTTCTCCAGGGAGAGTACTTTGTACTCTCCTCCCTTCAATACTCTCTAGCCCCGTCGCTGCAAGCGCTGGGAAAACTCTGGAGAAACGCTGGTGAAGCTAGATCGATAGCTATGCTTCCCGTGCCCTCGCTACGCCAGCGTGCGCTAGCGGCACGCTAGCGTACGCTGGTGACGCTGGGAACGCTAGATCGATATCTATCTTTCCCCGACACTGCCGCTGGCGTACGCTGGAAGCGCTACGCTACGCTGCCGCAAAGTATAAACGCAGCCTTGGCACCAATTCCTCAGTGTGTTGATCAGGAGAAATATGATGTCCAACCAGCGCCGGCATCATCTGATCCCATTATG